GTCTGCTGAAACATACTGAAGTCTTCTAGGAAAAGGACAGATAAAAAGACAGCTTTCAGGGGACAGAAATAAGCAAGAGAATAATCCAATCAGCCTGTTTTTATATATAACAAGAGAACATCAATTCTTCTATTACTTTTGTACAAATCATCTTTTTAACAACGACCATCTTTTCCAGTGCTGTCTGCATTTAGTCACAGATAAAGTACAGCTTGATACTGTATGCTTAACAGCACATTTCATGCCAGAGCGTTTAAACATAATGCACATAAAGAGCATCAGCATACATTTTACTGTGGCTTTCCAAGAAGTAACCGTCTTAATGGCAATGTGGGTAACTACCCAGTTACTTTCTGTGCCCACTAGATAGCCACTGCTTAAAAGCAGCTGAAGTAGCTGTTGAAAAACCCTGAAGCAGAAAAAAGACAGAGTTAGCCTTTTTTCAGTATCAGTAAATATTGAAAAGGCTGGTTTTCGGTATTAGTAGCTTTTAGTGTCCATGTACCTCAATGAACTATCTAGAGTTCACTGAGCTACATTAATTCAAAAAGCCTTACAAGCCTATAAAAAAAAGATGTTATAGCACTGTTGGAAATAATAAACCAGTATCAGATCTAACCCCCCTGACTTTCAACTATGAATATCAAAGCAGTAACTATAGCTGCTGCTTTGACATTTGAAGTTCACTGTAGTGAACTCTAAAAGCAATTCTATGGTGTTTTGTCCCCTCTCACTCCAGCTTTCAGAATTGTCTCAGCTGGACACGCTCATTTAGAGAAGTCGATGCACAGTCTTTTCCCATACTGTGTATCCCTGTCAGGTGCAGTTTTATTTGTTTCTCTGGTACCACAGGTATGCTTAACTTTAAAAACGAAGAGGCAATGTATTTTCACAGCACGAGGAGGTGAGATTGGAATAGTCCAAAGGCTGTGTAATTGACCCCAATGCTGAAGTGTGAGGCTGCAGTTCCTGTGAGGTTTGATCATTCAAGACATTTGCAGGCAGGGTCCCAGCCTGCTTCTGCCGAAGCCAAAGGGAGCACATTCATACTGCAGTGTATGTTCCCCCAAGCTTCAATGGTCTTTCACATCACTTCTCCACCGCAGAGGAAAAATCTTCCAAAACTCCTCACCCCAAAGAAGCCAACCTTTCCCAGCACCTGGAAATGCACCCCAGTGGTAGTGTAACACTGACATCCAGTGGATGAAGAAATGCAATTTCACACTTTTGGACAGAGGTGGCAATGCGGGAAGTATGAAAAAAAAAAAGAGGAAGAACTATTTTGTTCATAAAGGTTTGGACTTTGTGAGAGCCAGGAACTAGCCTGGGATCCCCCCCAAACCCACAGGTGACCCTGGGTGGGAACTTCTGTGTCATCCATTATAAGTTCAGACAAACCAACAAAATCTGTTTGCTTTCTACAGGTCAAATGTGTTCTGCTGTATGAAACTACAGGGATGATGAAGTGTGGTATTTTTGCTCCCCTGTAATGAAAATGTGTGGTTTCCTAGGCTTATCCTAAATAAATCACACTGCTTCATGTTGCCTTCCATGTCCCGCCACAAGTGCATCAAACCCTGAGCAAAACAGATGAATCTATAAAAGAACACCAGGAGGAAAGGAAATCTAAAAATGAAAAGTAATTTTTGTTTGACTTACAACAAAGACAAGGTCAGCATTTTGAATGTGTCCTTCTCTCACAGTGCATGCACTCTGTACTCTCAGTATATTAGTGATTTCTGCTTACAACAAGAAAAATACATGTGGATATAGACAGGATATAGATAGTTCCTCCTCAGTTAATAAAAAATGAGGATCAGAAGTGAGTTGCATCCCCAGTTTATACTACTATTTCATATTGATTTACACAGTGGCTTTTGCATTCCTTAAAGCACTACAGCAACAAGGATGTATATACCTGGTATAAAGTCTTACTCATATTAAGAGGGCTCTTTCCCCCTCCAATCAATGCAAAAATCAGTTACTATTGTTGAATGGGGAAGCCATCAAACGATTCACTGCTCTTTACTGACTTGTGTAGCCTGGGTTCACGTGGATCTCGCCTCCTGTCCCTGCCAGCAACACACATTGTTTTGCTGTGCTGGCAGCTGTCCCTCCTGGTGATGACTAACCTGTGAAGAGCTCTATGGCTCTTCCAAGACAGACCCGTGTTTTCACTGAACATCCATAGACCTGTTCACCAATATGATAGGCACATCACATTTCTATAGTTCTCTCTTTGGCACCAAAAGAGTATTTTCAGCTGCCCTGCTATTCTGCTGATCAGGTTCTAACAGGATTCTCCGGAGGAGATCAAATGAAAACATTGCACTGGCATGCAGCCCTGGGTGAGGTCAGTAAGATAACAGCAGTCTTCAAAAATACCAGATAATAAGGAGAAAAAGCATAAAATTTGGTACAGCAAGGGTACGTTCTCTCTCCTCCTAGTTTAACCTGCACATACTTCTGTTATTCCATGTATTCCTCTTGGTGCTTTCACTTCCTGTTTCAGACTTTCACGCTGCTCTGCTAATACTAAAACCTTCTTTGTTTCATGTGGGTCCTGCTTATATATATATATATTCCATTTTTGCATCTTTCATTTTCTTCCCTTTCTGAGATCTGGCAGCTCTGCCCCATCCCTGCTCTCCAGACCCTTCCAGCCCCAGGCTAACACTCCTGCACCTCACCCCTGGCTTCATATCACCTCCCAATATACCTCTTTACAGCAAGGGTGGTAAAATACAGGCACAGGTTGACCAGAGAGGTGATAGATGTGCCATCCCTAGAGACATTCAACGCCAGGCTGGATGTGCTTCTGGGCAACCTGATCTAGTTGATGATGTCCCTGCTCATTGCAGGGGGTTGGACTAGACGGCCTTCCAACCCAAACTATTCTATGATTCCCAGGTAAGTGTCCCCAGACCAGCCCCTGCCTCACCCTCCCACTGCCATATCCCTGCAGCCCTGTTTCTGGCTCAGCCCACTCCATAGAAACCGACGATCAGTGTTTATTTTTAACAGTTACATTTATGAATGATACTGTAGTCACTGCAAAATTCATAGCTTCCATCTGAAACTTTTAAGTCATTTCAGCCCAGAGAGCCTGCACAATGAAGAGACTGTAGATATTCCAGACCAAGCTACCTGGAGCACCACAGCCAGCAAAGCATCAGCCTTTATTCCAAAGGAAAACACAGCTGGCTGTCAGAGCATGAAGGACAAAACACCACATCGTGGGAGCTGACAGTCAAGCTCCTCTCAGCCCTAATGAACCCCAGACTCCACCCAGGACATGTAAAGCCCTTGTTGGCTGGGTAATCAGCCCAGCCCAGATCACCGGCTATCCCTACGCTGGGGGACCTGCCTGCTCAGTGAATGGTAAACCCTGAGGGAGCAGGGGTTGCAGCCTTTCAGTACTTCAAAGGGGCTGTAAGATGGGAAAGGACTATTTAGCAGGGCCTGTTGCAATAGGATAAGGGGTGATGGTTTTAAACTAGAAGGAGATTCAGTATGGATGTGAGGAAAAGAACTTTTACAGTGGTAAAACACTGGCACAGGCTGCCCAAAGAGGTGGTGAATGCACCATCCCTAGAGATATTCAAGGCCAGGCTGGATGTGGCTCTGGGCAACCTGGTCTAGTTCAAACTAGTTTATTCAGATGTCCCTGCTCATTGCAGGTGGGTTGGGCTGTATTATCTTTACCTTCAAGGATCATCCTTCCAACCCAAACCGTTCTATGAAGGCCGCCAGGAGGTGAACCATCAGCCTCCACATCGCTGCGTTCCCGCACGTCCCTGTGGGGACACAGACGGCGCCTCACACAGCAAACCGAGGGGTCGAACCCGCCGCCGCCATGACTCGTTTTGACTTGGAGCTCCCCGTCACCCTCTAACGGCCGCTGCGCCGCCTCGCGGGGCCCCATCACGTGCGCAACTGCACGGGCCACGTGGGGCCCGGCTGGCACTCAGCATGGCCCCGCCTGTCCTCGCGTTACAGGGAGATTGACAGTGAAACCAGCCAATCAAAGGCACAACCTCCTTCTCCTTCTCCACCTCCCCCGCCCGGCCACCCCTCCTCCCCTCCGCCTACGATTAGCTGTGTCATCCAGCGGGTGACATCGGGGGCGGTTGCCAGTTGGCTGTGGAGGCGTCCGCCTCCCGCCAATGGCTTCGCCAGCCGCATGACTGACACCTCCCCTGTCCCATAGTTGCTTCAGGGCAGGTGTGCCAGTGAAGGGAGGGGCGGAGCAATGGGAAAATGTCGTTGGGGACGGTGGGGAGTGTGGCGTTATTGCAGTTCCGCTGCGGCGGTGCCTGGCGCCGTTGAGCGGCGATAGCAGCGGCCGTCCTCGTTATCCCGAGTGACCATCTCAGAGCCCCACCCTTGGGGCCGGCTAATAAAGTTGGCACACTGACGTAGCCTCACCTCCCGCAGCTGCTGAGGAGGGCCTCAAGGAGAGCCGCTCGGTGGGCGGGTCTTTTTGCTGTTATGGTGTAACGGGCAAATCCCCTGTCCAATGGCTTCCGAGGGTGCAACCTGCAGCCCAATCCGTAACGTCGAAGGGCGGGGCAAATAGGGGCGGGCGAGCGGGTGCCCCATTTAAGGGGCAAATCTCGCAGCCAACTGGCAGAAAGGAAGAAGGGGTGGGAGCCAGTGAGGGTTCTGAAGGGGGCAACGTTAACCGATGACAGTCATCAAGTGCAGCCAATCGGTGAGGGAGTAGTGACGCGACAGCCCAATCAGAACCGCTGGCAGGCGGGTGCTCCGGTGTGATTGACGTGGGCTGCTGCTAATGGGCGGAGAGATCCCGGAGGCTCTTCCCAATGGGCAGCGTGTAGGGGGCGGAAAGGGGAGCGGAGGGCGAAGAGGAGCAGGTTAGAAAGCCAATCAGCGCGAGGGTCGGGGGGGCGCCGTCCAATGGGCGGTGCGAGGGGCGGTGCGGGGGCGTGTCTCGGTGTGTTTGGGTTCGTGCTGCTCGGGGGAGGGAGACGGCGGCGGCGAGGAAAGTTTTTTTTTTTTCTTTTAGTTTTTTTTTTTTCTTTCTTTTTTTATTTTCCTCCCCCCGTGTGTTTCGGAAGGGGGGAGGGGAGGGCGCTTCACGCTGCTTCTTCGTGCTTGTTTCCCGGGTTCGTGTTTCCCGGGCGGCCGGGCCGGGCCGCCACGGCACTGAGAAGGGGGCTCAAGCGTACCGCGGCGGCGCCTCAGCGGTGAGTGCGGGACAAGCTCCCCCCATTCCCCCTCCCTCTCCCCTCGAGCGGCCCGCGAGCCTCACTCCCTGCCTCTCTCTTTCCCTCTCCCTCAGCGCCCTTCCCGCCCTCAGGACCCTCCCGCCGCCTCTGAGGGGGGCCTTTGGCGCCGGGCGCGCACGCCCCCACCCCCATAGCTGCACTGCTACGGGGGACGGGAGGGGGTAAAGGAGAGGCCGGGCCGGCGGGAGGGGCCCCGAGCGGCGGCTCAAGGGCGCTACCCCAGCGGCGCCGGGGCTGTTGCTCGCCTCCCATCTCCACTGCGGCGAGTGCTTGTCCCGGGGCAGAGCCGGGCTCGCACCGCTCCCTCCCCGCCACCGAAGGTGTCCCCCTCTCCGGTTTTCCCGACAGGGCCCCGTCGGGACGCCTGGGCGACCCCAAGGCCGCTACCCGGAGCCGTGGTGCGCAGCGCCGTGCGCTCGGTTGGCTGCCGAGCCCCGGGAAGAGCCGCCCGTACGGCAGCTCGCCCAGGCCGGGCAAAATGTACAACGGCAGAAGGGCTCCGAGAAGCCTTTTTGCGGCTGGGGTTGAAAAGCGCTTTGGTGTGACGTGGGGACAATGCTGAGGTTACGTTGATGCCGCTATAAACAGCGCTGGATATGTTGAACATGATGCTAGTTAAAATGCGTGTATGGGGGTGGGAGGGAGGAGTGACCAGGCTCAGAGGTGTGTCCCAGGCAAGGGGATAGGAAAAAAAGTTTCCCCAGCTGTTTGTAGCAAAATGAGCGAGTGTTTGTTTCTGGAGACACTTTACCGGTTGTGGGTAACGCTGCTTGTAGCATGGTATCTCACGAGCTCAAATCTTGTTGCGTGAAAATGCATGTAGGAGTATCTACTACTACAGGGTACATCTGAGGCTTGTTGAATAAAACCAAGTTTCAACAAAGTGTTTTCCTAGCCAAAACAGACATGCTGGCTACTGTAAACGGTACTTCGTTTTCTCATGTTTAACATTTCACTGTCATTAAGAATATTGGTTGAGATATCTCCATAAAGTTAGGTCTTTTTTTGCAATCCATAGTATTACATTTAATCATGATTTGTTAGATTTCAATGTTGCATTTTCATCCCCTTTAAAAACTCTGAATCTTCCTGAGAAAGAAGTACGTAGATCTTTGGAGCCTGTATTGGGCCTTCTTTGAAAAGTATGGTTCACTTAGCATTTTTCAGTAATACTGCTACCCAGATGAGTTGGGCTTTAGTTTCTACTACTAGCATTGCAGAGGTGATACCTTAGATTTTTGGGGTTGTTAAATATGCGCACAAATTCAGCTAACTTTGTAGTTTGCCTGCACTGAAGTTCTCCAGCAGTTCCCTCATCTCCCATGGTGACTCTCTCTGATGGCACGTGTGGCTGCTGAGAAGCTGGGTGATCTATGCTTTCATCTGCTGCATTACCTGGGGTCTTGAGTTTAAGGATAAGGTTGATTTTCATTATGTGATCCATAGTTAGTGCCAGGACAGCCACGTAGGTGTATCTCAAGGAGTGGTTTGTTAAGGGTGACTTTTCAACTGTGTTTAACTAACCTGTAGGTAAAACTAATCAATTCTGCAAAAACTTAGGGCTGGGGAAGGGGGAACAGAGCCTACAGTGTGTGTTAGCTTTTCTGCTGTGAAGTTTAAGGAGCAACAAGGTGTAGGCACATCTTTCTGTGTATTAACTAGGTGAGGCTATCGCAGCACCTTTTCCTTTCATCTTGATAAGCTATACTGCGTGCGAGTACAGATTTCATGAGTATGCATTTTTATGTAAAACAATACAAACGTAAAGAATTAGCTCAGAAGTTTCAGTGCATATTGGTAAAATTCTAATGGGCATCCTTCATTAGTGAACTTGGTTTCTGTTTTCTCATAATGTTGTTACATTACAAGTGAATCACTTCAATTGTGTAATGTGGAAGTCCTGGAAAAAAACCCCAAAACTTCATAAAACAGTCATTGTGTCTTTGTTAGACAGTCTAGCAGCTCTATAGCTGCTAATTTAGCTGAAAATCTAATCCTTCATTTAAATGATTACCTCAAATGTTTGGAAGTAAAAATCTTGAAACTGAATCACAAAAAAAAAAAAAAAAAACAACCAAAACAAAAACCAAAACTTTATTTATCCAAGTTTGTGTGACTGAATAGTCCAGTAAAACATTTAGGTAGAATGTGTGTCATGGCTTTGCTTGGTGATGAGTGTTTGATCATTAAAACTTGAAGTTTGGAGGATGACTTGAAGGGGAGAGAGCTTCAGGAGAGAACTTTGCATAGTTCTGAGGTAGTGTGTTTTACTTTAGATCTGCCTTCTGTCATAGGAAGTAGGAAACTAGAAATAAATATGTTTTGCAGAAGTAATGTATAATATACATCATATATAGAGATATCTGTCTAGAGCAATGGGATGAATAGCTGCATCCAGAATGACAGAAAGAATTGAACTACAGAATAAGTAATTTGAAAATATGTTCAAATGGGTTTGTTCTTTTATGGTTTTGAGTGGTTGTTTGGTTTTTTTTTTTTCCCTTCAGTAAAACTAGTGTATTTCTGCTCACAGAGATTGGATTTATAATTAAGCAGTATGAACTGGAGATCATGGAAGAAGCATAAGGAGCTTAGTTATTGACTTGAGTGAGTTTATTAATAGTCCACTTAATGGTTCAGTTACTTCATTCTCCATTTTCTGCAGAGTGCTTGGATGCAAAGTCTCTTGTCATAGTCACTTATTGCCATTATCGTGTTTATTTTCTCAAAATGTTTTTTTATATATAGATATTTTCTGGTTTGTGCAATAATAGTAATAACAATGAACCGTCATTTTCCAACTTCTTTACAATGGCTTTTCTCAGTAATTGCTCTCTAGTGCTGCTATTAGATTCATAAATTCTGTCTGTACTGAAGATTTACAAATGCTGCGTTACCTCTACTTACAGTGTATCTCACAGCGTACAGCTATTCAGCTCCTTATTATTAGATTTTATTTTTCACTCAGCCTATTTCTGTGTGTAATTTCTGGATCAGTAAATGTGTCATTGTGAAGAACTGGGATTGTTTGCTTTCACAGGACAAATTAAGTATATTTAGCATGTAGAGAAGGGGGAAGTACCTTATATTAGCAAATATATACCAGTGATTTTCTTTTAGCTTACAAGATTTTTGTCACCTCAATGCTTATAAAAATATATTGGCCTGAATTATCTCTGGGCTTGCTTTTAATGATGCATTTGTTGCAATTTCAGAAATTTTACTTGTGAAATGTTATATTATCTTGGGCAAAGAATAGCAAGAAGATGTCAATCTAATGTCATGTTCTAATAGCAAGAGCTTAGAGATGTTGAGCAGTTAGTAACATATTTCTAAGTGCTTGACTAGATGTGGTAGAATTAGACATGAATTCTTGAAAATAGTCTTCCTTAGCGTAACATTTAATGTCTTCCTCCCTTTTCAGACAAAATATATATGCTATGTTTGCTTGTTCTTTCAGCAATGTGTGGAATACGGACTGAAGAATTGGTTTTAATTTCTTGTGAATCCAAAGCAAACTTTCTCCTACTATCTGTTAATAAAAATAGGGACATTTTTTGGTTCTTGAGGCAGCTGTCACTGTCAGACAAGTAGTTGCCTGTCGGTATTTGTGCTTGAGGTGACAAGGGTAATAGTAATGAGGATATTCTGACTGCTGTTCCTTGTTGCTTTCGACAGGTAGGAAAACTCTCCTACTTCCTTACATTTCTCTGCTTTACTCTTAATAACTTCTTTGCATTGCGCTTATTTTTTTTTTTTCCTTCAGGGAAGTAAGCAGCTTTACTGCAAAGACTTGGTGTATTTAGTTTATTTTTCTCTGTTAGAGCAGTAGGCAGGGAGTATGTTAAATAATTTTTTCCTTTGCCGCCTTACAGCGGCAAAAGGAGAGGGTGGTTTTGTACTTATTATGGTTTGCATCATGTTGTAGGGAAATGTTCTGAGGTTTTTAAGTTTTCACCAGAGTAAGGCTTGTGGTTGGAGTTTGGATATTCTTTGTGTTTACCATGTAGTGAGCTATGGAGATGACCTTTTCTAGTTTCAGCTAGTCAGTACGGATTGCATTTCTAGGCCTTGCCAGCTTTAGTAGTTCTGAAATCAGATATCTTGCATGTATTTCCTGATTTAATGTCTGTGGATTAGAAAAAACACAATAGTTCCTCTGTGAAAAAATCTGGGACAAAAATTGATGTCGTCTGAGACTTGCACTGGCCAAAATTTTTTAGGTATCTATTTAAGAGGGCAAAAAGGGATCTGAAAGTAGCATTTACCCAGCTTAGCTTTTAGATCTGTGGAGAAACATACTGCTTTGTCAGGAGAAATAGGAGGTGCTGGAAGGCATATGTTATGCTGCATGATACAGGACACTGGTCAGAAAAAATGTGTAAAGTATAAACTGGTAGTCAGTATATTTTACCACTGTCAGGCAGAAGGTTGAAGGCTGAAAAGCTAGTTAGGGGATGAAAGGATAAGAAGCAAAGTTGCAAAACTAAGAGTTGATAATTTTAGATAGACTGACAGAGGATTAGGCAAAAGGTGATACTGTAATATCGTGTTGCCTGTGTGAGGGGAAGCCCTCTAAGCCATCTAAATGAGTTGTGAAGGAAAAGTAATTGATGTTTTTACTTATGTTTTAATTTTATAATTTCATCCTAGCTCTTGCCAGCATTATAAAAAGCCCTGTAGTGAACAACCACCTGACAAAGGGGTTTTCAGTAGTGTATTCAATTTTTTGGAGGGTACTGGTCTGTTCTGTGTTAGGAGAAATTTATTCTTTATGCCATTTGATGTGGTAGTAGTCTACAAAGAACACAGTTTTTATGGACACTGTTAACTTTCTTCTTTTAAGTTGAGAGATTTTCAGATTCTAGCCTCTATTTTGCTGGTGGAAAAGGCTTCTTCCTGTTCTTCTGACCATCTTGTATCCTAGTGTTGCAGGATTTTTCCCTACTGGAGTCTCT